GAAAAAAGGTTTCATACAGAAGACATCATGCCCTTGGAAAAAATGTCATAAACTTAATGATTTAAAGAAGAAAGATGTAACCTATTTTACCATGAAAAAGCGTTCAAGCCCTGTATTTTAACAGAGTCACACTAGTACTTGTTAAATTGAGATTAAGGCAGAATAACTTGTGAAACTCCGTTTAAACACAGGATTGGTACGCGTTTTCATGAGACATTGTTTTGTTTTCTACATTGTACGCACTATGTACACTTTGTCCAAAATTCCAGAGTGCAGAAAAAATTTCGTCGCAAAACAAAGTGCGCAGTGCGCACTCTACATGAAGTTCTCATTAGAAACACTGATGATGAATATGAATTTGAAGGAAATTCATAATAAAGACATCAGTTGAAAGAAAGTATAAATATTATTTTGTAATGTCTCTAATTAAAATTCTTTGATTCTCAAAGCAGAAATGATATAATATAAAATAAATCATTACGATAAAAAAATATATCAGCAGCGATATATTATAATATATTACAGAATTAACTGAAGATCATCGAAAATTAATTTATTAATAAAGAAAAGAGAATAGAATATTTTAAGTTAATAAACAAAATAAAAACCAAGAAATAATTTAATAAAACTTTTCTATGTTTATTTAGATGGAAGTTTTTTAATTCGTATTTTCAAAAATCAAATTTTATCACTTGTTATTGATATTCAGACGCATCAAGGATGTGCATATGAAATCGAAGAAATAAATAAATTTATATATACGCAAATCTTTACTATGTTCAGTGTTTTACAATATTTAGATTTTCATCCATCTTGTTCTGCTTATCCCCGTGTATCATTTGGTATATCACCTCCAAATGTTTTCTCTTCAACTCTATTAGAATCGCATATTATGGTACATACTTACGCAGATTGTCTTTATTTACTTGACGGTCGTTTCAGCCAACTTCATACATTCTATGTTACTATATTCGATGTGACTGTTCCTGTATTGACAACAATCAATAATGAAGTAGGTTACTCATATTAATCAGTGACCGCGTGAGGAGTCTAGGATTGGGGTAGGGTAAGCGTCCGAAACAGTTTTAATAGATGTATGCACAACGGAAAATTGTCTGACGAAAAAAGGGGGAATGTGTAAAACTTTTCTGCCGCAGGTGTAAACATCGTTTTCCGTTGCCTTTTCTATGCATAACTTTTGAAGTGCTGCGTAGAAAACATTTTCTCAGTTGTTAAAATCATAATTTTCTGATTTCAACATAGCTCTATGAGAAATATCATTTCAGGATTTGTTGTAGAAGCGAATGCCGCGGAAGGCGGAAAATTTGTTGGAGAAATATCAAAAAGGAAACTCAGAAAAATATATAATTCTTTGAAATAAAATGCCGTTTTTTCGAGTGAGAGGACGAGAATATTTTTTTATTTTATATACGATGCCCCAAAAGTCGTTTATCAAACCTGAAATCGAATATTTCCACTCCGTCACAATCGGTAGAGCTCAGTTTTTGACTTATGATAGAGGAGTGCTCGAAGTTTTTTTTCTTACGAATGAATTTCACAAACAATTTTCAAAAGCATAACTGGATGAAAATATATGAATTCAGACTCTTGAATTTTCACAAAAGATGTCTGATTTTTAAAGGATTTCTTTTGTAAGTTTTTCGTTTTTGGACTTTCCCCATTATATGCTGCCGATTTATAGAGAAGTTTTAGATATTCTAAAAGAAAGAGGTCTGATAGCGTTGACGTAATAGATGCATGGAAGATATCTGTAAAACAGACAGTATATGATGTGGAAAGTCTAAAAACGAAAAAATTGGAAAAAATGAAATCGTTTAAAAATCAGACCTTTTGTAAAAATTTGAAAAAGTCTGACTTGCTCTATTTTCATCCACACTCATGCTTTTGAACATTGTTTGTGAACTTCATTCGTAGAAATAAAAAACTTAGAGCACTCCTATATCATTAGGCGAAAAATGAGCTCTACCAATTGTGACACAGTGGAGATATTCGATTTCAGTTTTGTTAAGTGACTTTTCGGACACACTATTCAGTCGCCGAAGGTGGCAGCTTTTTGGAATAGTATTACAAAGTTTGAGTCGAGATATGTATTATTCAATAAAATACGAACTAGTTTTTTAGAGTGACCAAAGAAATGAATAGTTCCTACTTTATATTCAGCCGCCAAAGGCGGCTACACTTTGAACTATTGTTTATCTTAAAAGATGAAAAAGAAGTTCAAAACATCTTTCATATTCGAAGTCGTTGTTGGAATATTAAATAATGAAATCAACAAATACTATGCATTTTTTCATAACTAAAAATCCCAAAATTTTCATGTATTAGGGGGTGTATATCCCCTCCCCACTTTGGTGGTCGCTGTTATTAATATATTTTTTTGAATGAATAAATATTAATACTTACGAATCTTTATCAACTGTCCTTTTATTTTCTAGAAGAAACTGCCCAATTTAAAATGCTTTTCGTTACAGCATACTTCGTTCTTTTCGGTCTACAATGAATTTCTTGTTCCACTTTTACATAGAATGTCAAATTTGGAAAAGCTCAATTTGCATTTTCTCAATCATAATGGACCATTTATTGATGGTGAGAATTTGGAAAAGAATACTATCAATTATATGACAAGATTAAAGAAATTTACATTTAATATTCGTTTAATTATTCCTGTTTTTAAGTTAGTTAATTTACGATCAATTGAAGAATTTCAAAATACATTTAGAAATTTTAAAAATAATCAAATTATTTCATGTGTTGATTATTTTCGACAAGCAGGTCTATTTCATTCTCATATGTATTCATATCCATATTCATTAAGATGTTATGAAGATATAGCAAATAATTTTCCTGGTGGTGTATTTAAATGTGTTCGTGAAATATCATTATTTGATGAACGTCCTTTTGAACATGAATTTTTTCTTCGAATTGCTCGATCATTTCCATTTATAGAAAAATTAACTTTACATAATCGTGAACCACAGAAGAGGGATAATCAACAATGGTCAATCTTAGAATATCCTCATCTTACTCGATTTGATCTTGTTCGAACTCATGACAATTATGTCGAACTATTTTTAATTAATACTAAAATGTCTTTATTAAATAATGTTTTGCTTCATGTGAATTATGGTACTTTGCAAAGAGTAACGGACAATTTCACAAGAGATGTAACACGGTTTAATTGTTCCAAAATTCATGAACTACTTTTACACAATAAACCACAATTTTCTCTCCATTTAAAAGACTATTTTCCTCATGCAGAAATATTGTGATTATTATTAATTATTATTTAAATAAAATTTAAACTAAAAACAAAAGAAAGTTATTTTGTAATAGAGTAGTTAAATTTATATATTTCAAAAGATTACATACGATAAGATGTGACTTAATGTAGTTGCGAGAAAAGCTTCTTTGCAAGAAAAGGAAAAATTACGTAGAATTAGAGTTGTGGGTGTGGAATGGTTGTGTTGTGAATGTGGTTCTGGGCTTTGTTCTCAGAAAAGCTACCCACTCCCACACCCCTACTTCTATGAATAATTGATACGCTCTTCAGTACTAAATGCTATGCCTTTTCATTAAAAGGTATTGTTCAGCGTTACCCTAGCAGTCAAAATTAAGTAAAAAACGCGTTATAGCGAACGTTATTTTTTTTTCTTTTAACGCATTTTTTCTTTCAACAAATGTCCGAATTTTTGCGTTTTAACAGTTGAATTATTTTCGACTTTGAACTCGTTATAGTGAGTGGAAACACAAGCG